TAGTTTTATCTACATAGAATTTTCATAGCAAAATGGATGGATAGAATAAATAACGAAGAGGTCCTAGAATTGGCATTACCCTCTCACCATATTAGTACAGGAGAAGCTACAGACAGCTGGGACATCTTTTCAGAATGCTTTAAACTAAACAAGCAACTCTTTGTCAATCCTAGGTCAAGATACAGGGAACTGTATCTACAAATACATCCCAAGCACAACAACACTAAAGCAGCATTAATATAAAAGATGTGCAAAAATGAGCCCAGGATAGGTGCCTTCTGAGCACAGCCCAACTACAGGAGCTTCCTCAGCCTGACAAAGGGTATTTGTACCTGAAAGCTTGCAAAGAAGAATTTTTCCAACTATTTGAGTTGGTCTAAGAAAAGATAATCAGATTTACCCAAGGAACCCTGTCTGTCATAAGTAGAAGGAATAATTTATCTGGTCTTTAAAATATAGCCACTTCAAAGAGGGAAGAGCAAACAAAAATAAATGAAGGTTTTGTAAAGAATCATACCTGCTACTATGGTGGGACTGCAGGATCATTAAGGCCTAGAAAGACCAGATAAAAACCTTAAGAAGTCAATGTTCTGTGAAAGATCTTCATGAAGGAAACACCATTACTGCATTTCAGTAGAATAAATGGATGATTTGACTCTATAGTGATTCAAATCTCTACTGTATATTGGCAATCGGGATATTCTTCCCAAACTCAAAAAGGTAGCTTAGTTTTACTACTGCTGCCTATATTCTGCCAAGCAGAACATACTACAAAACACTGGAAAACCAGGGTTAACATTTTGCATATGCACTTCAATTATTAACTGGCTCACACTAACAATCAAGTAGGCTAACATAACAAACAATTCTTGTTACTCAAACTGGCGTCATTGTAATGAGCTCCAAATTAATCTCATCCGTACACAAGAATCACTAATCTTATTTTGTGCCAATTGAATTTTTAATATCGGAATAGAGTGAATCATACGTTGTTGTTTTTTTTTAATACATTTCTAATACTTGCCAACCAAAATGAATAAACACTGCAAAGGGGGAGAACTTTTCTATTTACATCCTGGGAATCTGATTTTTATTATATACACACACAAGAAAAAAGAAATGTATATCTGTAGTTTACAACAGTATTTAAAAAAATGAAAATAAAAGAATACACATTTATTTCTAAAACACTTTGATCTTGCCTAGTGCCTTCCACTTCATAATTTTAAAGCATTTTGCCAAGCTTTCATTTGTAACAACCAAGCAACATAAAATATAAGGTTGATACCATCTCAGACATCTCTCAGGCATACACACAAAAAAACTCTGGCATGGGAAGCCCACTTTGTCCAGGTGTGGTAGTTCATTTTAACAAAATACACAGCAATGTGTATCATCTTTTAATGCAGAACCGAGTCAGAACTGCAGAATGTCAAACGGCAATAACTTTAGTTTTTGTAAATGAAAGTACAGTAGCACATCTGAGTCATTAAGAGCTCAAATCATGCAAAATGCTAAAGCATTCTGACCCCCAATTGGTCAGAACAGTTAACAATCTGCTTTTGTCTAACATGACGTTAACACTTTGCTGAATCCGTGCTTAAAATCTTGCCCTACCTGCAGAAATTTCAGAGTATTCATTCAGAAAGCTTGGTGTGATTTGTTGGTGTACTTTTAGCATCTTGTAAATAAAGCAGAAGCTTAAAATAGAACACAACTTATTTTTAAAAGTTATTTCTGACATCCTGTATTAGCTGTTTAGTGAAGCAATTCCTAGCAATGATACATGTTCTTTTCAGATTGCTGAAGTGAAGGTCACTCTCAGTTTATAGAAAGTAGATGAATTTGTGAAAGTCATCAGCTGTTCTTTCATTCAACTTTCCATTGGCAAATTTACTGAAAGCCATGCAAGACTCATATGAGCTCAAGGAATCTAAAGTATCCAGTGCTTGTAATTTTTAGGCAAGTTGCAATGTATGACACAACTCATATAGCAACATTTGATGGCATGCCATGAAACAAACCGCTAAGGCAGCTGTGGTCATTGAAAGAACAGCTTCGTATTTGCTGTCTTCTGGAATTCTGCTACATTTGCTTTTTGTTTAAGGAGTCTTTGGACTGCATTTACTTCAATGCTTCTGTTCCTTCAGTTTTGACAGCCAGAAACTACTACAAAAAAGTATAAATAATTGCTTAAAAATTGAAGTGTTTCATTATATAATTATGCGCAGTCTGTTAACCAAGCTTTTCCTATAGCCAGCGGGTAAAATATCCTACTAATCTTGAAGAACAACTTTGCATTAAAGGAGCTAATCAAGTGCTAATTGTAGTAACAATACACACATACATATTTGTGAGAAACTATGTGTATGCTACATTTCTAACAATGCAAGGAACTTAACTAACTGGAGGCAAGGCAGAATAGAGGGCCTCCAGGAACGGGACAAGAACAACTTTCAAAGGTAACAACACTGCTGGAGTGCAACACACTAAAGGAAGGGTGTTGATTTGTGGAAGTTTCTAATTAATTAAAATATCAGACATCTTATGTAATTAGTATCTTGTAGGTGTCATGAAAGAAATAGGCCTTCAGGAAGTGATGCCAACTAAGGGAGAAGAGGAACTTTGCAGTCAACATAGAAAGGATGCCTGTGTATTGGAAGTGACATGTATGAAAGCATGCAGGTGCCTGTGAGAGAAGCACACAAAAAGAGCATCAAAGCTAGTATTCATGGTAAAAAAACATCAGTGAGCAAGATAATAAGCAAAAAAGGTGAATAAAACAAAAAGAAGCGTGCAAAGGGATTCGAACAGCAGTTCCTAACCTGCGCGTTGCAACCTCAAAGTGGGTCACAACGTCAGTAGATGGGGTTGTGGAGGCGAGGGGCTGTGGGTTGGGAATGAGGGGCCTTACTGAAGAAAAGTTTGGGAAGTGCTGGATTAGAAGTTTGGGTTGGTATCACTATGTAATTGTTTAACATTAGAAACATGGCAGGTATACCTGATGTATATGCTGTATGGTTAGTCAAAATACAGACTCTTGTTGTACTGGCTTACTTATCAATAGCTTTTATATAAATAGCCCCTCTTCAAGGTGTGAAGAATTCCCTTCAAGTTTCATTTCCTTCAAAAGATACCTTTGTTGGACTTTTCATTTTTCTTTTTATTACACAAAAATGTTAGTCTTTAGTTTGTACATTGATGATTAGACAAACCTTTAACTGACGTTGCGATAATTACCACTAAGAAAATTGGAATATTACAAACAGAGAACTGAAAATGAATTAAAGTAGGCAACCACTGATCCCCTGAATCACAGTGTATGCATAAGAGGTCTAGTCAGGTGCCTGATGAATTAAAGACTGATAATAAATGTCAGACTTCACTTATTACAACATATATTCGATAACTTCTCTGAAGGACATAATAAATAAAATACAATAGGTGCTAGATTATTACATCTTGCCTGGGAACATAAAGAATTTGACAATTAATGAGACAGTCCTAAAATAGGGATAGCAGCCCATCATTAAATCAAATTCCTGAACAGATGTAACAATACTAAGCTATTTAAATCTATTTAAGCAATTAATTTTGTTTCTCTCTATGGTATACACACATCTTAAAAACTGTGAATAAAAAAAATACTTTCCCCTTTTTGTGATTTTTTTTTTATTCTTCGGTGTTCTGAAAGCAACAGTGAAAGAGAAATTGGTATTTTCAGTTTTATGCCTCCCTGCTTTGAGTTAACAAGTGTGTTTGTCAAGATACAGAAACAGTAATTCTAGAGAAATCTAAATGAAACATCCCAAAATACATATAGCTTTCTCTAGCTCATTTAGCAATAATCTGAACCAAATAAAACTTAACCTTCAGCATGAAATAGCATCTCTACCTAATTAGCCTCTTCGATGTACCATAGTAAGAGACAGGACATTTTCAGTGTCACAGCTGCATATTTCCATGATTGCAGAAGTGCAGGTACAGTATTACGGGGATATAGGATAGCTGAAAAGAGAACACACTGGTAGGAATAGAATAAGGACTAATAACAAGCCCACAGTGAATTTTTGCCACCTACTGCTGACAAATGCATGCATTTCTCATGCATTCATGACTAAAAGATCCCTCGATGTTTATCATCATTCATCAAGTGAATAAAACCAGCTACAAGCAGCAGCCAGCAAAACTACAAAATCTTTACGGAAAACTTGAAGTTATTTCATGATTCCCACTAGGCAGGAAAGATACTAGAGTGTTAAACAAGAGGCATGTTTTTCAGACTGGAGAAACACCCTAATGGGATATATTACATGTGTACAACCAAAGTTCACTTATGAACTGAACAGATTATCATTATAGGCAAACAAGTACCTAGTACTTCATATTTAGATAATTTATATCAATTTTCATATTAACAACACTTTGTAACAAATTATTATCTACTTAATGGGTTGGTTTTTATTATTTTTCCGCTCCAAAGCTTGCTCCTGTTTTGACTGCAGTACTACTTCACTGTAAGAATAAATTTTAGAGTTCTGTCTGACAAATATTATTGTCCACAGTATGTCTCCACCTGGTTTCTCCTCTTCCTGGTATTAATATGGTACCAAAAGAACAGCACAACCAAATTTCTAACCATTAAATGTTTTAAAGGTAAGAACAAAGTTTAATCCTTTGCTGTAAAGAAGCAAATATTGGAAATTATCAAGTGCTAAGTAGATAAAATGCTTTCTTTAAAACAGAAACTCTGATCGGGTATTTACTGCAGACAAGATGTGGGGCCTCCAATGTTTTGTCTTGATTTGAAGTTGATTTCATAAAATTTGTTTTTATTTAATGTTTCAATCATTACAGCAGGAGAAAATGTCTATATGCTCACAAGAGAGTCAAATACAGATTAAAATTATTCTGCATTGTTACTAAATTCCTATTATTAAACTGTTCCATAAGCCTCTCCAGCATATCATGATCACATAAAACACTGAAGCTGTACTCACATGCAAAGCAGAGGGATCTGGCAGGAATTCAGCATCCTCTCCAAAGATAAAATCCGGTGGTAGCTCTGGATAGTGGGCATTAAAAATTATATCCCCTGAAATATAAGTAAACAAATATACTGTTTATTTCCACTTTGTACTCCCCAATCCTAAATGCTACAATGAAAAAAAAAATAAAAATCAATGAACCCCTTTTTATTTAACAAAATTCATATGAAAGACAAGTATCAGATGCACTGATGATAAAGTTAATTGAAAATGCACTACAGAAACATATTATTACTTGCATTGTCATTGGTTATGCCACAGGCAAAGCCCCAAAAAGCAATTCAGTTAGAAAAGGAACTCTGTAAAAAAGCACCTTCTTTATAGCAACACATTATATTAAAATATTTGTAACCAACATGGTTTGCTCCCTTTATTTTTATGAGTCACATTTATTTACTGAAGAAAACCTATTGATTTTACACAGGTGCTCAGATATTATGGTGATGGATGGAAGTATAAAACCCTAAGACAGATGGGAAACCAAGTTTTTGTTACAGTTAACACTTCAGAGTGAATACAGAAAAAAGAAACTGAAAACAATTCTGCCTCAAGCATCATCACAAAACTGTCAGCTATGTTCCATTTCCAGAATCCCTATTACTGAACATGGTGTAAGAGTCAGAAAACAGCTTAATTGATGTAGCTTTTCAGTGCTGATGGTTGTGCAGAAAAAAAAAAAATCATCCTTGGCGTTATAAACAGAAAGTGTTAGATCTGAACATCTGAGACAAAAAAAAAATATAAAACTACTAAAATATATATTTTTAATCACATCACTTCCTATACTCCATATTCTTGACTTAGATGCAGATTATATTCACAGCCAGGGCTTCCCACAGATAGGACCATTGCAAATTAATTAGTGACACTGTCCTTCAATTATGCAGTCATTTTTCCCCAGTGAACATAATTTGAGGGCAGGACAGTCAAGTTCAATGGGTGTCAGCTCAACTAGCCAGATCCTAACTGAATGGAACAGAATACAACAGAGATATTAAAGATCTGTGCTAAAATGTTATTTGTTTCCTGCTTATTAATGGTAGGTAGAAGTAAAAAAAGTGGATCAGTCTGACTCAAGTACTCATCTTACCAATGTTGCAAAGCATGAAGGATAAAGGTTTTTAAATAGTATATTACAAATTAAAATGGAAAGAAACTTCTAAATGTATTGAACCATAAAGTTTCCAGAGAACAAGATGTGGTTGGTCATCAGTATGAACTTACATAGAAATAAAGTGAGCTAAATAGGAGCAAAGAACTATCTTAAAAAGAAACTACATTCAGTACTACTATTCTGCATCTGAACTGCTCTGTTCCCTTTGTGATGACACATAAAGGATAGCTCCATGACCCTCAATGTGCAAAGTAGATTTATGGGGCAGGAAGAATTAAAAAGGAAGGAGCTGGCAGTGAAAGCTTTTTATTACTGTGTTCTACTACTTCTATAAAGCATACATAAGCATAGCAAAATGGCAGAAAGTAGAGTAATAAATATGAGAGAGAGGGGGAGAGAAAGAGAAGGAGAAAACACGTTTCCCCCTTGCCCACACACACATTTTCTGTATTTCAAAATTTGTGTAGGAATTTAATGCTGGTGAAAGTACTGGATTTACAAATCTTGCAAACTGATGTCTTCTATTCATCTAGGGGCCTGGCACAGCATTTTCATAGACGTTACGGGCTGGAAGGGACCTTGCAAGATCATCGAGTCCAGCCCCCCTGCCATAGGCAGGAAGCCTGCCTGGGTCAAATGATTCCAGCAAAATAAACATCCAGATGCCTTCTGAAGTAATCCAGAGTAGATGCTTGCACCACTTCTGGAGGGAGTCAGTTCCAGACCCTAGGCACACAGACTGTAAAGAAGCTTTTTCCTATGTCCAGTTTAAATCAGCCTTCCAGGAGTTTGTGGCTATTAGACCTTGTTATCTCTTGGGCAGCCCTGGTGAACAACTGTTCTCCCAGGTCCTGATGCACACCCCTTATATACTTATAGGCTGCCATCAAGTCCCCCCGAGCCTTCTCTTCTCCAGGCTGAAGAGTCCCAAGTTCATCAGACTCTCCTCATAAGGCTTACCCTCTTGACCTTTGATCATATGGGTGGTTCTCCTTTGGACCCTTTCAAGTTTATCCACATCCCTCCATAATTTAGTGTTGTCCACAAACTTTGCCAGCCTGCATCTGATGCCCAAATCCAGATTATTAAAGAAGATATTGAAGAGAACTGGCCTGAGTACTGAGCCCTGAGGGATGCCACTGGTCACCTCACACCATGTTGATTCACTCCCATCAACTAGTACTCTTTGGGTCTGACCCCAGAGCCAGTTTCCCAGCCATTGGACCGTGTGATGGTTGAGGCCGCAGCTCCCCAGTTTAACCATGAGGACATCGTGAGAGACCAAGTCAAAGGCTTTCTTGAAATCCACATATATGACATAAATCTAGTCTCCTGTGTCCAGGCAATATATCACTTGGTCATAGGAGGAGATGAGGTTGGTCAGGCAAGACCTCCCAGTAACAAAACCATGCTGGCTGGCGTTCAGAAGGGTGCCTTCCATTAGCCTGTTGCTGATGGATCCCTTGATGATTTTCTCCAAGATCTTTCCAGGGATGGACGTCAGACTGACTGGCCTGTAATTCACTGAATCTTCCTTCCTTCCTTCCTTGAAGATTGGGACCATGCTGGCTCTTTTCCAGTCTTCTGGAACCTTACCGAGCACCACAAATTTTCAGATATCTTCGCCACAGGGTTCACTGTGATGCCTGTCAGCTCTTTCAAGACACTTACATGCATTTCATCCGGGCTCACGGACTTTCGGATGTTTAGCCTCTCAAAGTGTTCCCTCACTTTATCTACATCAATTGTGGGCCTGCCTCTCACTCCCTGGGTTTTTTGCATCCAGTCTGACAGTGTGACCCCATGGTTGGGTGGAAGACAGAGGCAAAGTAATTGTTTAGGAGATTGGCCTTCTCTTGGGTGTCAAACGTCAGCTGCCCCATTTGATCTCGCAGGAGTCCAATATTGCCTTTGTTCTTTCTCCAACTTCCCACATATCTGAAGAAGGACTTTTTGTTGTCCTTCATTTCTGTGGCTAGCCTGAGTTCAGTTTCTGCCTGGGCTTTCCTGGACTACTCTTTACATGTGCGGCCTAGTGCTGAGTAGTCTTCCTTGGTGATGCTTCCCATTTTCCATTTGGCACAGATTTCTCTTTTAAGTTTCAGGAGGTCCAACAGTTCCCTGTTTAGCCAAGGGGGCTTCCCTGCCTGCAGACTGTATTTCTTGTGGGATGGAATGGACTTCCCTTGGGCTTCAAGGATTGCATTTGTAAGGAACAACCATCATTGTGAACTCCCCTTTCTAAGGGTCCATGGCCTCTTAGTACCTGACTGACCAATCTTCTGAGTTTGTGAAAGTCAGCCTTCCCAAAGCTGAGAATTTCTGTTTTACTGAGGGATTTGCCCCCCCTGAATTGGACAGAATAAGTGATCAGTTCACGGTCGCTGTCACCAAGCTCTCCCTTGATCATCAGATTGCTCACCAAATTGTCCCCTTTGGTCAGAACCAGATCCAGCGGCGCCTCTCCCCATGTCGGCCCGTAGACCTCTTGCATCAGGTAGAGGTCATCAATGCAAACAAAAAGGCTATACGACCAGTCAGATTTGGCCATGAGCTCTTCCCACAAGATGTTAGGGAGGTTGAAGTCCTCCATGACGATCGTGCATCAGAACCGTACAGCCTCAGCCATTTCCCTACTGAATTTGCGGTCCAGTTCTTCTTCTTGGTGGGGAGGTCTATAATAGAATCCTACAAGTATATCTCCTTCCCCATACTCTCCCTGTATTTTAACCCAAAGGGACTCAAGATGCCTTTCATGGTTAGTGAACTCAGTCTGAAGGGAAGTGTACTGCTCCTTGACAGAGCTACATCCCCATCCCTCTTCCCAGTAGTCTCTCCTGTACAGGGTATAGCCTTCTATACCCACAGACCAGTTGTAGGTGGAATCCCACCAGGTCTCCATTACCCCTATTAAGTCATCATTTTTATTGCACAAGAGAAGGGCCAGTTCCTCTTGCTCGTTTCCCAAGCTCCTGGTGTTTGCATACAGGCAGTTGAGTCTGTCATGAGAATCCCTGGGCTTCCTTATGTGATGGGACAGGACCTTTCCTTGGGTTATTGTAGGAGTGGGTTCCCTTGAGCTACCCAAGTTATTTCTACTGTGGTTGACATGACCTGGGCTAGAACTGGTAGTTGACTACCTGTTCCCCAGCAATCTTAGTTTAAAGCCCTGTCGAGTAGGTCAGCCATTCTGGACGAGAAGAGTTTCTTCCCTTTCCAGGTGAGATGGAGACCATCCCTTCCCAACAATCTGTTAACTCTCTCACTGAAGGCCGACCCATGGTCAAAGAAGCTGAACCCCTCGTGATAGCACCATCGCCGGAGTCTTCTGTTCACCTCACTGATGCACCTTTACCTCCAGGGCCCATGATCCATAGGGTCAAGGAAAAAACTATCTGTGCCCCCAGGCCCCTGCGCCCAGCCCCCAGAGTCAGGATTATTCCATGCCATATCATTTGTGCCTACGTGGATGAGTAGCATGGGACGGTGGTCAGGGAATGAGTTTGGGGATCCTCTCGGTCACATCCAGGACATGAACCCCCAGGGAGGCAGCAGACCTCACGGGCTAAGGGGTCAGGGTGACAGAGCACTCCCTCAGGAGGGAGTCACCCAGTTACTCTGCATCTTCTTCTAGGCACAGTTGCTGGTGGCCCTCCATCCTCACACGCTGGAGCCAGTCCCTTGGCTGGCTCTGCTGATGTGAGGGGTTCAAAATGGTCGCGCAGCTCCAAGGAGGTGGCCACCCTGGTGTAGTGCCTCCTTGGGCCTGAGACTACCTTCACCCAGGCAACTCCTGGCTGGACTGTATGGCAGCTCTTTATTTCCTCCATCAGCCATCCAGTGGAGAGCCTGGAAGCAGACGTCCAGTTCCTGCCCTGCACCTCTAACGGCATGCAGCTACCACACCGTTGCCAGAAACTCCCTAATCTGGCA